CAATGTTTGCTTTACTTGTGTTCATCACTGCGTTTGGCATTCAATGCATTCACAGTCAAGACATTAATCCAAAGATCTGTTCAATCATTGAATCGATGGACAAATCAGAAGAACTTCATGTCTATAACAAGAAGTGGATTGAAAACAACACAAATAAGACACAGCTATTGATGTATACCTCAAACAAGATATGGCAAATTGATGTCCAGCCAAACGGTTCCCTCACTTACGGCACAGACATTTATAACAAAAGCCGAGACATAATCATTAAGTTTAGTCTGGGATCGATACTGTTCTCCAACGCATACATATTCAGTGAGTGCACAGTTGGCCAGTCGTCGGGTCAACCAAACTGGACGTGTGCTTTGAACACAACATATAGTGTGACCAATACTGACGTTTTATATCCGACCAATTCGTTGGTTTTCAAAGCCATTCCCGGCGCTAATACGCCGGCAATCAATGTTGTGGACAGGGATGCAAACCGCGGGTGTCATCTGTTTAACGCTTATATTGTGTTTGAAGTCAAAGAACACGTAAAATTCATTTCCCAAATACCCGCAGATCTTTGGCCAGACATCGAGAGTGTCGCCGATTATCATTACAATGACAGCCATTCGGGACATATACTGGTGTTTAGACGGCACGACTGGCATATGTATTGTGTCCTTCCCTTCAACGCTAGTGTCAACACTCACTGCGCGGCCGACCGTTTGAAACCAGTTTGCGGTCAGAAAGTGACAACAAATACCTGGAATTACTTTTGGATTATCATATGTCTGGCCATTGTTTGTGTTATAATTGCCATCATTTGCTTCATTTCACTTATAGTCTACGCAAAGAAGTCATCCGAAGAGAAGACTATACATAAATCGGTGACCGATAGTCAGCTCTCAGACACTTCCATGAAATCATTGAAACCCAGTCCTGATATCAGATCTAAATCTGTCAAAAACTAATTGAAATACTTTATAGTCTTTTATACTTTTGTAAATAAATTAGTGATAGTTTTTTTTAAACATTTAATTGCCATTTATATTTGTTATCAAAATTAATTAAACTTAAAGTACAATTTAAAATAACAAAAAAATTTTAATTGAAAACTTTTTAGAATTATTTACCTGTTTTTTTTAATACAAATTATTTTTAAGCCTATTACAACTTTTAATTCGTACTAAAAAAGTTTTGATTTATAACATAAACTATTTGTGTTTTACTTAAAATTAATACCAAATACTCCAAAACAATTAGTTATCTTACTTACCTCTAAATATAATTTAAAATTTAAAAATGCAATTCAAATCTTTTCACATATATTTAAAATGGTTTTAATTTGCAAATTACTTTGAATAATGATTTATAACTGATTGATATGTGATTTATGATTGATATGTAAAGTTATTGATTTATAATATGAATTAAATTATTTGTTTTACTCAATAAAATTGATACCAATTTTTGTTCAAAACAATTAGCTTTCACTTCGTTTAAAAACAATAGAAACTCACGAGAAATGAAACAATTAATGAAATTATAATCATTTAATAAATAACATTATTTGAAAATACTTAACGGTTTATCCCATAGTAAACAAGTTTTAATCATTTATTGATTGAATTCTGGAAACAATGTTTGCTTTACTTGTGTTCATCACTGCGTTTGGCATTCAATGCATTCACAGTCAAGACATTAATCCAAAGATCTGTTCAATCATTGAATCGATGGACAAATCAGAAGAACTTCATGTCTATAATTATAGGTGGAGTAAAAACAACACAGCGTTTGCACATCTATTGATGTACACCTCCACCAAGTTATGGGCGTTTGAAACACAGTTAAACGGATCCCTTATATACGGCGAAATCATCTATAAAAAAAGCCGGCAAATTGTAAATATGTTCAGTGTATCCGAAGCCGTGGGCAAAAACGAGACACAAATATACTATCGGTGTCATGTTTACCAGTCGTCGAGCGGCCGATCAAAGTGGACGTGTCTTTCACACACTAAGAATAAGACCAGTCGACAGGACATACCCTTTGCCGCCAACTCATTGATATTCAATCCCATCCCAAACACATTCAACTATATAATATCGTTTGTGGAAAGGGTTACCGATCGATGGCAACACAACTATCAGAACAACACATTTCAACACAATGTGAGCACTTCTGACCACAATTTTATCAAACAAATAGACGACGAGTTGTGGAAAGATATTGAGAGTATCACTAGTTATTACTACAACGACAGCCATGCGGGACATATAGTGGTGTTTAACCGCAATGACACGCATATGTATTGTGTGCTTCCCTATGGGAATTCTGTCGCCAATCACTGCGCGGCCGACCGTTTGAAACCAGTTTGCGGTCAAAATATGGCCACAAATACATCGTTATTATTTTATATAATCGTAGTTTTGATCGTAATTTGTATTGTTTTCCCCATTATTTTGATCTCATTATTGATAGTCTACGCGAAGAAGTCGTCCAAACAAGTCGTCTCAAGCGATCGATCGGTCAGTAATAGTCAGCTCTCAGACACTTCCGTCAAATTACTGAAATCCAAACCCGATATCAGATCTAAATGTATGAAAAACTAATTGATTGATAAATTTATTGTATTGTATTTTATTAATTGGATTTTTATCATTTAATTTTAGCCATGATTTCTCGAAAATCATCTAAAACTGGTGTCAACACAAAGACACCCAAAACTGTTGGCAATACAAACACATCCAAAGTTTCTACACTTAAGAAGTGATGATCACTTTGTTTTATAAGCACTTTATATATTTGCTCATATTTTATGTTTTAATACTGTAGATTAAGTTTTAATATTTCTAAATTATTAAATTATTCTATTAATAATAAAATAATATTATTTAAAAATTACAATTTTAATATTTTATAACATTTTAATTGATTTAGTTTTGCCTTCACTTTCAATCACTTGTTTTATTGAATTGTGATTATAATTGTAACATATTTTTATGAGATATACTTTGAGACTGAATTAATAAGTCAAATAACAAATTTATAATATGAATCAAATTAATTGTTTTACTCAATAAGATTGTCACCAAAATAATTAAATATTTTGTAAACACGAGTGAAATGAATGCAAAAAAAAATCAAACAAAACAATGCAAAACTTACATTAATCACAAAAAACTTGTTTTAGCTTTTTATAAATTTAAAACACTTAATCCCTGATATCATGGCTTATTATTTATAATCCGTAACCCGATAGTAATCTTTATAAATCGTAAACAACATAATAAAACGCTTCGTTTAAATAATAATAATTAAAACTTTTATTTTAATTAAATTTTTCATCTCTTTTATAGTGAAATATAATTAATAAATGAAATGACAATTATATGAATGAGTGAATTATAGTCGCGATGTGTTATGTCTTATAACTGTATTGTATTTGAAATGTAATTATATATTTATATTTAATTTATTTATATGTGTTTTATATGTAATGAGAATTTATTTATAAGATTTAATGGCAATTATAATGAGAGACAATTCAATTGGGAAATGATGTCCGAAATTAAACATTTGTTTTGTGTGTAATTTTAACTCTTGTTTTACATTTCAAAAACAAAATCAAAGCCAAAAATGCACTGAAAATATGGGACACAAAAAATTGGTTCAGAAATTGATTTGAATTTTAAATTATATTTAAAAAACTATTTAAATGTATAAAAAAACTGATTAGAAAACAAAAAACAATTTTATACTAAAGTTATAGTCATTTGTATTCAGTGTTTGGTTTCAATTGATTTCACAATTAATTTGTGACAAAATTTTTAAACAATCAATCAATCGATGGACCGATCGATCAATTAATCTGAAAACACAGTAAAAAAAACTAAAGCGAAAAATAAGAGTCTAAACAAAAATTCAACGAAAGTTACAATTAATTAAAAGTAATTAAATGTTTTAAATAAAAAAACAGTTGGTTTTTCACAATTGGTTTTTCGCAATCATTTCTTCTTTTTCCACTGGATTTTGATTTTTGGCGAATTATTTCTACTTTTATTCATATCATTATTGTTTGTATTGTCAGTATTGGTCGCATCGGTGGCCCGACTCGAGCCCCGGGTGTCCGCACCGGCCGTCCGGCTCTCCATCTGCGCCAACGCCGCCATCTGTTGCTTCGCCTTTTCGATCAACTCGTCCGAAGTCATGGCCGCCACTCGACTGTCGGTTCCCGTCTCGTGAGTGATGGACGGCAACGGAGTTTGCTTTTTAGACCGCAGTCTCGGGTCAGTAGTCATCGACGCCGCGGCGCCCGACGGCTGCCCACCGGCGCCCACACCGACGGCGTCGCCGCTATTACTGCTATTACTACTACTACTGATGCCCGTCAGCGACGGTGTGTCCGACGACTTGGTCTGCGCCGCGTCGTCGTCGTCCTCATCGTCCAAATCCATGGCTTCGGGTGAGTCTCCGATCGGTTCTGCGGATCAGATAGAGTGACAAAAAGAGGGGAAAATTAGATTAATTGTCATTCAAATAGAGCACCAAAAGAGCTGATAATAAGCTAAAAACTTGTGGCCACACAATCATCACCTGTGAGACCGGATTTGGGGCCAAAATTCTTGACAATCGGGTCGTCGAAGTTGAAGCCGGCGGCCGCCACCGCCCGGAGCCTCTCCTGTTGGCGCTCGATCTCCAGCGTCTTGTCCTTCACTGTCGACAGAATGTCCTGAAGATTGTCGGGAATTGTGATGTCTTTGAGCGCTGAGGCGGCGAACTGTCCGTCGAGACCGGGTATGAGTGGCGGCGCCGACGACGACGAGGCGGACGACATGGAGGCCGCGAACGAGGCATTGCTGGCCTCGGCCTCGGCTTTCTGGACCTCCAATTGGCGCTTCTGTTCGTCCACTTTGGCGGTCAACTGTTCCAGTAGTCGGCGCTGGAGTTCGATATTCGACGACTGGGCGATCGCCGACAGCACCGACGATGTCATCTCCACGGGGTTTGACGAGCGGGCGATCTGTTCCATCAGTTCGGGTATGGAATGAGTCGACTGGCCGTCCAGTGAAACGGAAGCCGGCGTCGCGGCGGTCGCCCCACTGGACGAACTCAAATCCACTTCTTCGGGATCGTACGGTTCGTCGTCGTCGTCGATCACCGGCGGAACCGTTGACTTCGACGCTAAGGTAATGGTTGTAGTGATCTTCGGAACCGGCGCTCCCGTCTTGGACTTGGATTTGGCCGAAGCGGTTGTGGACGCGGTTCGCGGCGGTGTATACGACACGTCGTCCGTGTCTTTGCTGTTGTCTTCGGGCGACGAGTCGTTCGACGAGGACTTTGGCGGCGGAGTGTATGAGCGGACGGTCTGATCGCCGGCGGCCGAGACAGACGACCGGCCCCTGGAGTTCGTCGAGTTTTGCGGCGCCTGCGATGGCACGTGCTTTTTGCTCCGTATGATTATACCCAACAGTAGGTTCGGCCGAATCGACTTCTTGTCCAGACCTAGAGGTGACA